GAAAGTGACTGTGGGGGAGACAACGTTAACATTTCCCCAGGGAAGTGGACTGGAAAGTTGCTGGAGAGTGAACTGGAGGGAACAATCTTGAATTGGTCTCTTGGGTTGGACATAATTACCTAATGGATTTTCCATCTCTCAAAAGTTTAGGAAGGAAAAAAATACCTTTAAAAAAATAACGAAAAAGTGAAAATGGTAACCCCTCCCATTTTTCTTCAGGCCTGTGAACTCCTGTCCTGTCTAGCCTTCGAAGAATGGGTGGGTACTGAAATAGAGACAAGCAAGGAAAGACGTGTGGAAGAGAAATCAGATTGATGTGGGACCGAAAACACAATTCCCTAGCTCCATTTCCCCTTCGAAATCACTGCTGAGTGCTGACATTCGGCTCCATTCAAGATTGCTTTGGGTGCAGCTGGAACTATATTTTATTGAACAATATAACCTAATTATAATTAAGCATTTTACTTTTCCATAGAATCTAAAGGTCTCTGTCGAGTGGCTTAGCTGTTTGCATACCAGGGTTTCCTGGTCAAAGGGGCCCATTATGTAATCAGTTTTCACCCAGAACACTCCCCACACTCCATCCCCATCTTGCTTGCAAATTGTGTCTGGAATCAGGAACTTAGAGTTTTTCCTCCTCAGGATATATCCCAATACTTTTTCTATTTTAATGTGTTTATTTGGTTTTCAGGTTGTCCCAGAATGACAATGTATCTACTCCTCCTTCCTTTCCTATTTGTCTAAGTTTTATTATTGGCTGATGTGTGTAAGACTGTGCTTGGCTTTGGGAATAAATATGCTCCAGTGAGGGAGCCAGCCTCTGTGATGCCAAATATTGGAATAGTAACTGTGAGTTCTTCCTATATGCCTAATATTGTGTTAAGGCTGAGGTGGACCCACGAATGAAACAAACACTGGTTCCCTGCTTTCTGAATTGGGAGAAATAAGTCATTTACAGAAGAAATGGAAATACCTGGTTTGTATGGAAGGAGGTCTAAGGGATCAAAGGGCTGTGAAGTTCAGACAAAGGAGATTTCATCTTGACTTGAGGGGTCATGGGAGACATCATCTGAATTAGCTACAGTGTTGACAGTGCCAAGAAGGGACATTCTAGCTAAGTACAGCAAGATGAGTGGAGGCCCAGGACTGGGGAGCACAGTGGTGGCTGGCAGGGGACTCTGTATGGTTTCGTTTGATTGGAGTATTGTTTGTGTGGAGGGTAGTAGTGGGAGAGACAGTTGGAGCCAGATTTGGAAGAATCCTGGGTATCAGGGAGGAAGCTTGGACTTTATCAATGAGACAGTGGGGCTTTGCTGAAAAAATGTGAATGTCTTGGCATCATTCTGAGATCCAAGATTAGTGTAGAATTATCTGGAGGCAGTATGCACAATAGATTGGAGGGACATGGGGGCACAGAGAGAGAGACAGACACTAAAAAGGCAGGTGAGTTAGGATGAATGGTAATAAGGGATGGACCTAGAGTGGTGGGATGGAGATGGGGACCAAGACCAAGACCAGAGAACAAGAACACTGTGGAAGGAGAACGTGGAGTTGAAGTGCTGATTCAGTATGGGGGGCAAGCTGAAGGATTATAGGTTGGATGACAAAGAAGGATGGTGGCGATAACAGAATTAGGTGAGGAAGGAGATATCCTTCTTTCAGAGCTTGATCTGACACTTTCTTAGCCCTGAATCTTGGGCCAATGGCTTCAGGAACCCTCTGAGCACATTTCTGCACTCATGAAATAATCTTTAATTCTCATGATTCAATATTCCAAATGTTATTTGTTTAAGAAAGATAGAGAATGGAATGGTTTGAGCAGTTCTCAGAAAAAAGAAAACAGAGGAACAGGAAATACAATATGGAAATTTTCTGAACTTCCTGCTGCTGCGTGAGGTTTAGACTCTTGACATTTAAAGCGGAAAAATACAATTTGAATGAACAACGGAAGGGTATGTTAATTAGTGAAGAGGAAGTTTTTCCCTCTGACACTTAAGATTGGCAATAATTTAGGGTGGCACCTACACTGGCCACATTTATAATCAAGGCTAATTGTGCAATGGGTAATAAATAGGAAATGGGTTGAAATTTCCAGAGACCACACTAATGGATGTGTGATGAATACTATAAGCTTAAAAAAGTGGTACCTTCAACTTTCTGTCCTACCTTTACGTATGTTAGATGACATAAGAATATTTCTGCCTTGGAGTGGTGCTATAGGTGCATTTACTGCTCTAAACTCAACATTTCAGAAAGAGCTGAACTGTTTCTCTTCATCTCACAACTTGTAAATAAGCTTAGGGCTTCTAAGTTACTTGAAATTTTATTGAGTCACCCAGCTGGCATGAATCAGCAGTTGAGCCTTGATCTATGATCCAGGAGATCATGGTTGGATTCCCGGTCAGGGCACATGCCCGGGTTGTAGGCTCGATCCCCAGTGGAGGGCGTGCAGGAGGCAGCCAGTCAGTGATTCTCATCATTGATGTTTCTGTCTCTTTCTCCCTCTCCCTTCTGCTCTCTGAAATCAATAAAGATATTTGGAAAAAAAAATTTTTTGTTGAGTAGAAATGAATTGGAAAGCAACCAGAGTTGTCATGGAAAACCAATGGATTGAGCTTTCCTCAATGCTGGAGGGAACCTAAATGACCTCCTCAGTTTTTAAAGCAGAAACTTTTCAACCTGTTTTCATCTCCTCTTCCTTTGGGTATTTTTCACATATAGGATGGAGAGCAGAAGATGCGGTTGGGGTGATTTTAAGGTGGGATTGGAGTTTGCCCTCAAGTCTTTCAAGGAGAAGACAGTTTTACTTACCAGGGATAGGATCTAGTGCACCCTGAGCAGCTGCTATTTTTGAGGCAGGAAAGTGAAGCTGAAGAGCTTTGCACAGCCGCCGTGCAGAATTCTAAGCACCCATTTGATAAAACCTATTGGTGTGGCCCAGGCTCTTGGGCAGATGCAGCCTTTGACTGTACCCCTTTTCCCCTCTGGCCCTCTTCTTTCATCAGTTTTGTTTTTGTTTCCTATTAGGAATGTTCCAGATTTAGCAGCTTAGAAGTGATGTGTGTGTGTGTGTGTGTGTGTGTGTGTGTGTTTTAAGAGTATTTATTGGTATGATTGAACTCTGACTCCTATTTGTCTTCTAGGAGTCACGAAGAAAAGAAAGGTTGACTCAGGGAACTGGAAATTTTGCCCTAGAGGGAGAAAGAAGAGCAGAAACCCTTATCAGCTTTCTTATTTGGTTATAAAAGTGGTAAGGCATGAAATTGGAACAGATGGCATAAAAATAGCTGGACTTTTCTCTTTTACTTGAATTTTGCTGACAACTTCTTTAAAATCTTTGTAAACTTCCACTTTTAATAGTTCTGTAAGGGCCTTTAAGGCCTCGTGGGTGAATGCATCAGCGTAACAAGCTCTCATTCAGGTATGTTATAGGAAATAGACCAAAAGCAAATTCAGGACCCATGATCGAGACCAGGAAGCCTATTTCAAGTGTCCCTTAAATAGACTGTAAAGTTGGGAGATCGCCTGGTTCGTTACCTGTCCTGAAGTTGAGACAGGTCAGTTACCATCTGGAGGGGTGCGCGCAGTCGATGGCTGATCTTTGGTAAATTAAAGTGGACATTAGAACACACTTCGGTAGAAGAGCTGAGAAGATTCTGAGACTTGCAAGCTGACTGAGTCGGCTGACTTGCAGGACATGAGATAGACAGCAAAATAACTTAAGTAGTGGCTATCTCATTGGCTTTTCGTCTGCAGATATTAGGCAGTTTGAATAGCTGGGAAAAAATGTATCATTATCTGCGGGTAGCGTGGTGATAGTTTATTACAGGGCAGAGTTAGTGAAGGAAAGGAGCTGTATCATTATTCATATTAAAAAATGCTGTGACAACGAACTCCTACAGATGACTGTTGTTCCATAAATCATCCCAAATCCCTATACTCAAGGGATTTTTTGAAAGATAGCATTTTCAGAGGCAAAATTATTTTAATTTCTTCATGGGAGGAATTTTAGAGTGTAAGGAAAAATTCACCCATGCCAGAAGGCCATTTACTGAGCTCATATCATTCAATAGAAAAGGTGAGGAGGACTATGCCCAGTTTAAAGATTTCTTAAAGCAACTCTTCCCAGCCTGGGCCTCAGACCCTTGAGTGATTGGAGTGTGTGGCAGACCCACATTGTCTGTAGGCTGAATGAATAAAAACTGAAGTCTTTCTATTTTTTCGATATTAAAAGGTCTCATACTTAGAAGAGTTGAGAATTGTACTTTAAGGTAAGATATGTTAAGGATAATACTTTAGTTTACTCTCTGTTTTTGTGTTTTTATTTGGCTATTTTCTGTCCAAAAGTCTTACTACCTCACATTTTAGCTCAGCTCAGACTTGCACAGAATTACAGCAACCAATTGGACCCAGCTCCAGCATCTACTCTAAGGGTCTTATAGCTTCCAGATCTTTTTATTATTCTAACCCATGGGTGGCTGGGTAACTTATGTATTAATACTTGATTCCTCAAGAGATTTCTTTCTAAGAGCAGAATAATGCCACAACTATGGGTTAAGTACAAAGTACTTTGAAACTCCAGATCACTAGTTCTTTGACCAAATCATGTGCTGGAAGCCAAGGCATTTTAGCCATTCCTTTTATTAAGGATTTACCAAACTAAAGCCTTCTAATTAATTATCCAGTTAAAATGTATCCTACCCTCTTCCCCTGAATTCCAAGTTTTCTTATTTCTATATTGCTTTTAAAATACATATATTTACTTTTTAATTTTCTTTTTATTTTAATGCTTAAATCTCTGGAGGAGTAAATGGACCCAGGCATTATTTTTTCCCTTGTTACCTAGAAACAGTTGCACAAAGGCTACCATGTTTGACTACCTTTTGCTTACCAGAGGTATCTGAAAGGATGGACTAGTGATAAGAGCCTCCAAGAAGGAACATTTAATTGGAAATCCTACTATCGAATAGATAATGAAATAGGAGACCTTTTTAGCTGCCCTTGATTGGTAATAATTATTCATAGGTAGTTGTTTTTTTTTTTTTAAACTTTGGAATTTCTTATCCTTCCTTCTCCTATATTTTCTTATAAGTAGGTGCCTCTTTCCAGAGTAGTTTCAATGAATCTTTGGAGGACTGGATAGAGAGTGCAAGTATATACCCACTTTTACTGAGTCCCAAGGAATTCAATCTCTTTCCATCAGCTGAGGAAACCTTAGCTCAGATTTTGGAGAATCTAATCCTTGAACTGTTAGGAGAAACTTTGAAGGGATCCTTGGCCTGATCCTTCTTGACAGAACTCAGAAAAATCATCAGATCCTTTAATGACACATCAGGTATATAAGGGAATTAGATCCCTTTTCCCATCCAATGGGATTTTTGCTGGTTGTTTATGAATAGGGCAGAGCATGATGTATTTTAAATAATTTAATGAAAGAATTGAAACAAGTTTTATGTTGATAATTATTGGGGAATTTAGTAGATACCCTTCTGGAGAAAACTAGAAGATTCCTCATGGGACTGTGATAAGACCAGGATTAGGAAACTCACAGAGAAAGTGGTGGGTGGCAATGTCCATGCTTCTAAATCTACAGCACTTGGACAAAATGCAGGTGATGTAGCTGCTTCTGAAGGATGATTGCCAGTTCTGTCCCATAAAGAACAGAATATAGAAGCACAGAGAAAGGGATAATTACTCTGGTCAAAGAGGCTACCAAAATTAACCTGGTTTTCTCAGGGATTTGTCATATCACAGTCTGAAATTGTGTCTATATTATAGCTTGCCCCTGTGTTGCATTAGACAGTCTTTTTTTAAAAAGACTTTACGTCATCAAACTGTGAGCATAACAAGCATATTGCTTCTTTATAAAGATTTTAAGGGTTTGTAGAAACCTGTGTATCCTTTCTGTAAAATTTCCTTCCTTGTGTCTGCAGAAGATATGAAGATTGGAATTGGAACTTCTAGGTAAATTCTATTTAGTCTAAAATGTCATGTGAGTGCAAGGATAGATGCATGCTATAACTTTAATTTTAAATTCTAAATGCTTAAAAATGAACAAATGGTGAAACATTTCCCCGGTGTTTCATGTGTCAGCATTGATCATATCTGACTTTGTATTGCTTCTAATTTCCTTTCTCCTTTCTTGTCTTGACTTACTTTTGCAGTTACATTTCTAAGGCCCCAAGAGCAAGGCTCTGCATTTGATATTAGCTCTTAGGATGAAAGAAAACTGACATATACTGAACAACCACTGTGCTCTGGGCATTGTGCTAGATAGACAGTGCTCAGACAAGTGCCAGAAGGTAGGTGTCATTACCTCATTTTACAGATTGAGAAACTAGGTAAGAACTATAGGTGCATAGTTTTGTTTGAGCTGCCAACCAATCACTGCCAAGCCCCAAGTCTTATAATGACTCCGTCATTATAACTCTTCTACTGTGTGTATTCTACATATCTTTTTGTTGACTGTGACTAATTTAATCATAGAAATGATAAATCATAGAAACCAAGGTAACATGACATTTTCCTTTTCTCTGACAAACCAAGGGGCATGAACACTAATGCTGATGTTTACTTCAGTTTTGAATATGGACACCTTGAGAATCAAATTTCAAGCCTTGTTTTCTTGTACTTGTCTCAGGATAGTAGGACTTATTGCATTGCTTCCCACATCTGAAGAACATAACATGAAATTGGTTATCTATAGTGTAAGAGGACTGTGTGTTGAAATGGTTAAATTGCAGAAACCAAAGTCGTTTGAAGGACATTAAAGTCATCTCTGCCCCTTGCCCTGTAGAACAAACTATGCATTTAGAGGGAGCGTAACCAGTAATTCAGAATGACCACTATCACATAGCATACACTTACTGCTGGCAAAGCCAGGTTGCTATGACGATGGAAATATTTTCATTTTCTCCGTTTTAGAGTATAAACCCATGAAGCTTGAATATTGCTGAAGTTTGCATTTCATATTTATCTTTTCTGACCCCATGTTGCAAAGAAGTGAGGAAGACACTAGCCATGCTTCTTCAGAGTTATGCAGTTGTTTCTTTCATTCCCAGCTCCTAGCGAAGGTCTGGGGACTCAGCAGGGCTGGCATTAGACTACACTGGCAGTCTTTCCTTAGGGCAGTTATGCCAAGAGACCAGACATCTTTCCTTACTGTCATCATTCAAAGGCTAATATGTATTTATTTCAACTTGGATTTGAAATCTGAATCTCCTTGGGTATAGGTGATTCTGAGTCAGAGATATTCCATGCCCACCTTTCTGGATTGTAAGGACTTAATTCTGTATTCTCTGGGCATTTTCTTAACATTCAGTAAAGAAAAAATAATAGAAGAACGGAGAAAAAAGCAAAACAATTGCTAAGCCAAGAGTCTAGAAATTACCACTCATTCCTGGAGCATTTTGTCTTGGGGGCCCTTCTTTGGGGACCCACCATGTAAGTTCAGAGGACCGTGAAAGAGTCAGGTAGCTGTAGGTGATGGTTCAGCAGTTTTTGAGTTATCCAGAAGCTGAAACCCTGTATTTATTGGAAAGGTTGAAAACTTACTGCCTTTGCTCCACTGGGCTAACTACAGAAACTGTTAAGGAGATTAAAATGAAACAACAACTTTTCCACCTTGTGCTTTCACTCACCCTCTCCCTCTGCCTCACTCCCTTCTCTTTTGTCTCCTTCCTCCGGTATCGAGTGAGTGCCAAGCACTGTGTTGGGAGCTGCAGATAAATGGTGAATGGGGCAGATCTGCTTTTCTGTCTTCAGAGAGGCCCAGTCTCATGGGGAAGACAGATGAGTAAACAGGAAATATACAGTAGGCAAGGGGAACCCCAAGGCCCCAGTGCTGGGGACACTTCCCAGAGTATGGCTAAGGCTGAGGGAAGGAAGGGCAGGAGGCTTCAGGCTTCTTTTTCTTTCTCCCCTCCCTCTTTCTTCCCCTTTTCCTCCATCATTTCTTCCCATCTTTTAATATTAATTTTAGCACTTCTCCCAACTCAAATTATGGTTTCAATAGCTACTCTTTTATTGAACATAAGACACAATTGGTAATATTTTCCTCCACATCTTTAATTTGGAAGGAAATTTAACTCCGGTTCTAAATGCCTCTTTTAAAGAAATACCCACCAGTTTTTCATTAAGAGAAAGGAACAATAAATAATCTACATTTCTTTTCAAAATTCATCAAGGTAGCACTCTGAGCAATTCATGCTGTTTATTTCATCCTTTCATTTGAGAACCTGGCCTCACAATGAAAAATTGTGCCCAAATATCCTTGAAACAGTATTTTCTGTTTAGTATGGGCAGGAGCTAAAGAAGTGTCTTCAGGACCAAAATGCTATTTATTCCCTGTTTGACACGTACAGATCCTCCTTAATGAAATGTCATTAGGGAGTTATATTGAGCTGTGGCCTTGGTTGATAGGTACTTTTCAGCTTTTATCACTATCTGTGTCAGAAAATTAAGGGTAATCTAGGGTGCTTTCATTTCTTTATTAACTTGAGTGGGTATACTTTATATTAGGGAATTTAGTACAACACTTTGCCTTGGAGAGATGCATGTCCCTTTCCACTCTAACAGCTTCAGCCCGCTGTGTCTGGCGTGGTTGAGGCTAGAGAAGCCTTTTTGCCCAACCTCTGATCCAAGGCCCTCTGCTCAGGGGCAGTAGGAATTGTTCTGAGACTCACCTCATTTGTAGTTTTAGTTTGCAGAATGTGTCTTCTCTTTGGAGGGTGACTCTTTGCCAGAAGTTTTATGGGAACACCATCTGAAAACTTGGGCATGCTTTTTGGGTGCCTCTTCCCTATTTTCCTAATGATTTTTATTTTCTGCGAATCATGCTCCAGAGCTCTCAGTTAACTCTGGCATATCACCCACAGAGTTACAATCTATGAGCAAATGGCCGATGAGCCTGTGTGCGTCCTGCCCTGTGCGGATACCAATCTTCTGGAAGTTTGGATTTTGCTGCTGCTCCACTGTGGTGTGGAAATGTTAACAGAGGAGTAGGTCATCTTCCCCCATTGCCAGTGGGAGTGGGGTTCTTGGGGTACCATTGGAATAAGCATTTCCAGAGGCCCCCACAGGAGGATGAATTATGATAGAAGGTTTTATTTCTGTGGAATTACACCCCTGGGTTTCTAAAGTCCCATTTCCCTTAGTCCAGTCATAGAAGAAGTGTAGCTGGAGTCTCAGCGCTAAAATCAGAGCCAGCATCCAGAGTTTTTATTCCATATTTCAGCGGAGTCCAGTCCAGCATCAGGCTAGCTTTAGTCCATCAGTTCATTGTATGCGGGTCCGCATGGCTGTGGGCCACACGAGAGAATGCCCAGAAGCCAAGCGTGGGCCATGAGCCAAGCATGCCAAGAAGAACCAAGAGTGAGCCTCTTTGTTCAGGGACTTAAGTATCCCAAATCTTCTCCAGCTTGCAGTGGCCACACCCATTTTGGCCAATGTCTTCTGTTCCCAGGTGTGACTGACAGGCTAGTATCTTTCCTATGTCACCCTGACTTTACTGGGCATGCGTCTATCTTCCCTATGTGGTTCCCTCCCCCAGTGTTTTACAGGGGACATCCCTATAATGTCTGGCCTTCCCTTTGCTTCTTGCCTGTTACTAATAACTGCTTAATTACAGTGGTATCGGAAGGGCATTGGAAGGCTGCCTGCCCGACACCACCTTGCCTGCCACCAGCTTGCTCCCGAAATTCCCACCAAGTCATTTATTGGAAATGTTTACTGGAAAAGAAACCTGCTTAGCATTCATGAGTTTATACTACTACTTGTCATTCAGGACAGAAGAAATGGGACAGAAAACAAAACCTTTTTTTTTTTTTTGTATGCTCCCATACTTTTCAAAGATGAAAACTGTACAGATTCCTCAATGTAGGAACATACATTGCGGAATGTTTGCAAAGAATTTCTGAGTAAATGCTGAAACCTCCTACTTGAAATCTAATTAGTTAATTAGTTCTAAATCTTAAGTATAAGAAGAAATGATGGATAGGTTTTGACTGGGGACAGGGGAACAAGAACACAGAAGCCAAAGATCCCCTCCACAGCCTGGAAGGTGCAGAGTTTGGGGAGGTCTCCTTGGGCCAAGAGTGGCAGCTTAGGCACAGTTGCTTTTAGGAAGGAACAGCTAATGGGGTTGGAAGAATGGAAAAAGGAATAACCGTGGTGGGAAATGATCCCAAAGAAATAGATCTACCAATTAGACCTCTCACCTCCTGTCCACTTTTTATATCCTCTGATTAAGTGGCTAAAATGTAGTTTTACCCAGAAGTATATTAAAGAAAAGTAAGAAAGGAATGATTAATTCTGACGGTTCTCAACAGAAGCCATTGGTTAACATTATTTATTTGGAGGTATTCCTTTTGAAGGCTAGCATTTTGAAATATTTCAGTAATCTGAATCTGTGAAAATCCTTTATGGAATGCGTAAGGGGCTGTCCGCTGCAGAATGACATGTGTGAGCACTTATTTGTTAGGATCTGGGGAGCTGGTTCTTCATATTGAATGGGGTGGCACTTCCTCATGCAGGTGCCTAGATTACTGAAAATTGAGGTTCTTCTCCCTTCAGGGTACAGTACCAACATCATAGGCTGTTAGTGTATAAAGAAAATTTCGTTATCTGCCTGAGGTTCCTTAGGCAGAACAAACCCTGGTGCCAGCTCTGTGCTGATCACTTTCAGATAATTGTCTTATTTAATCTTAGCCCTGACTGATTGCTATTATCACCATTTCACACATGAGGAATATACTCAGAGAGGTTAAGGAGCTTGCCCAGAGACACACAGCGGAGGCAGAGATGAGTTTTTAAATTGATATCTGTCTAGTGCCAGTGCTCATGCTCCCTCTACTACCCCAAGTTAGAGCCTTTCAACTAGTTAGTGGTAAAGAGAACAGACTAGAAACTAAGCATCTTACTCCCCTAAACAATAATCTTTCCAGTGTATTATACTCCTTAACTTGGGAAGAAATTTTGAACATGTATGCCAATTGTAAAAGAGATTAGTACAGAGTTTCTTTTAATTAAAAAAAAAGAAATAACTTTCCTTGAGACTGTAATTCCAATATCCCCCCCTCCCTTTTTTTTGTTTTAAAGTTTGGTTCTTTGCATAGAGCTCTCAGATGCATCACTAACAATTTTAATCTCCGGTCACTCTTCTGTATGTATTTCTTTTTTGTTCAGAGGATGGTATGCAATTGCGGTTACCCTGATTGATACTGTACATATTTCCCCAGGCATTCACAGAGAATTGACTAAAATATGTTACCCTTGGCTTCAGAAAACTCCTGGCATTTATAAA